TATTAAAAGATCTCCAGCACCGGCTTTCAGACCTCAGAGTACATGGGATATGAAATCTTAACACTGGGGTAGTATTGTGTGCCGTAAAGATAGTTTAGATACTTTGTACAGATTTCTGCAGGATTTTAGTTACCAGTTATGCCTGTTTCCGAACCCAGTGTAGCTTTTGTCAGATAAGATATCTGGCTTGGGGAGGGGGAGGAGGGCAGAGGGGGTACGGAAAAAGCATGGCCTTGGCAGAACCATGAAGATGGTGTGGTACAGAGATTCCAGTAGTTCTCATCTGGGATAATGACATCCATAACTCACTCTGGTATCATTCCCTTGGGCAGTTTAGAACTTCTTATGAAAATCTTTATTTCAGTTTATTTTTAATAGTAAATCTCTGCATCCTCAGAAGACATCTGCTACCTGAAAATAGTTTTTTTATTAAGAAAATGCATGCTCCATTTTGATACCAATTTTTTGCATGTAAAAATAACAATACAGGATCTGAAACTCCATTTCCAAGTATTCCGCCACCCAAACTCAACAAAGCAAGGATATAAATGCACGGTAAAGAGAATAACAGCTCTGTTTGAGTCTAACAAGCCAAACCGAGCACTGCACCTCTCGGGGGGAGGTGCTCGGGGGCTGCGGTTGTGAGGCCCAGGCCTGCTTGTTTTGTGTGGCCGTTGTGTGAGGTGCAAGGGTACGGCTCTGAACACACCCATTTGACAGACAGTCAGTCAGAAGACTGAGGTCCATCTGTGCAGGGTGGAAGAACTCCTGCCTTGTACCTTAATACTTAGTTGTGCACAAGTTATGTCTTCTGCTGCTCCTTTCAAACTGTGGAATTAGTCCTTTTTCTCAAGAGTTAATTATTTTAATTAACTTTAAATTTGCACTTTCATTTATTCTTGCATCTGTTAACCAAGCTTATATGAGACTGCCAAATTAGAAAGATATTGCTTACATATCTCATCACTTGAACTGTTCAAAGTACTGCATGAATTTGATCTCTTCACAAATATTAATCTGCCTTGGGGTTCTCCTGAGCACCCATTCACCGAGCTAAAAATCTGTGTTTGCGTGCTGCTGTTTGTTCCCGAGGGCTCATCTCCCTAGCGAGCATGTTTAAACAACTGAAGTGCTCTTACAATGAAACATTCAAATTCAAGCCTTTATTATTATGCAATCTGGGATTATTTTTTTTATCATTAGACTTCCTTCTGAACTGGGTGGTTGACACTCCCTGTTCCAAATTCCTGTCCCATGAGCTAGTTGTTTGGAAATACGGGCTAGGAGGACAAACACCATGATTTTTTTATTTTTTTTTTTTCAATCTGAAGAAAGTGCTTTTTCACTAGGTATTTGGGATTAAACTGTAACCCAAAGGCAGGCAACAGAAATAGGATAAAGATCGAAAGGAAAAGGAGAGCATTAGTTGGTAGAGTGATACAGCTGGAAACGGTGGGCCTGATTCAAGGTGCTTTGGGAGTCAGAGGATTCTTGCACATGACTTAACTAGTTTCTGGATTAAACCTTGCGTATGCCCTAGGAAAGGAATGTATGCTTGCTCCAGCAGCATGTGTGCTCTGGAAAATAATGTGAAAAGCTAGTCTATATTGTGACAAACTGAGAGTTCATATGCACATTTGCTATTCAGAAAAAGATATTTCTGCTTAACTCCATGTCTAAACAATTTTAATGAAAAATGAGACTGCTTTGACTTGACTCTCCAGTCAGATCAGTTTTCCTACAGAACTTCGCTCCTTGATCCCTGTCCAAGAATGTATTTATCAGGGAATTTATTGAGCCCTTTAAATTCACTTCCTGATGAGAATTAAACCAGCTTTCATCTGCAAAACCCCTTGAAAGTTCCCTGTGTGTGAAGCGAGGATTTCTCCATCCTTTTCACGTGTCCCATCATCCTGTAATCTTCTCCCTCAGAGTCTTCCTGCAGGACAGTCCACCTCTGCTGCAGGAAAGCTGGATGGAAGAGCATCCCCTTTGCCCATGGGGACAGAAAGCACCATGATGTGCTCTTCCTGCACCGACCGAGCGCTCAGGCTGTCTTGGCTCCACAAGGAGAGCATCACGGTTTTGTCATCTTTCTTGGGGAGTGCTCGCTTTGTTTTTCAAGCAGCTTAGCATTTAAAACACCCTAGCCACTTGAAAAGCCGGCAGGTCACAAGTTGCCAGGTTCTTGAAAGTGCCTGGAGAAAAACTGATGCACCAAATCCCTTTCGTTGCTGTGCTTCAGCCGTTTGGAGGGCTCAGCCAGCTACGACATTTAGACCACAGCTGCCTCCGACGGTGGCCTGAGCATTGTTTTGTTGTCGTTTCTGCAGAGGAGCGGCAGGAGCTTACATCATTTCCAGTAATGAAGTGCCTGGGGTTCTTTTATGACTTGCACACTCCGTTTCTCTGGAGCTGTACAGTATGTGCTGCGTGACTCCTGGAAACTGAAGATTTGTTTTGACTTGCTAGAAGAACGTTTGCTGTTTCTCTTTACAATTTCACCGTATGACTTGTCAATTCTCTCCCCCTCTTAAGAATAACTTCAGATTTAATTAGCTGAGTGCAAACATCTTTCAGTGCGGTGTGGATTAGACTCCTCATTGAGTACATTTACCAACAGAATGAAAGACATCTTAATCAGGCGTTTCTGTATTCGTACTGCTGTGTCCAGAGTGCCCAGTAGCTGTGGATAGACAGTTGCTATTGACTGTCTTTCTAGTGGGGGATGGCCAGTGATGTGGGCACCAGTCTCGTTAAGGCTTGCTTTTTATTTTTGAAGCTCTGTCTCCTACCTAAGAGTGCTTTTCAAGTGTGTTTCATTATCATTCCCCTATCTGCTGCGTAGGAGAAATGATACTTACATGTCTTGCTGGGATGTCCCAAAGTTGCTGGCATCTCCCCAGGAGTTCCACAATGACCCGGCCTAGCATATTTCAAACGGTGCCATTTATACTTTGCTGAATTGCAAAGTACCAACCTCTACTAGACAAGTTTGGCACCAGCTTCCCAAAACGTTACCTGGATATACGCGTGTATATGTGCTTTGAATTCTTCAGTGGTGAATTTTAGCTTGCATTTCTGCACTCAGAGAACATTCTCCAGACCAGGAACCACCTGGGTCGTTTCTGGGATACCATCACCCAAGCAGCAGCCTGCACAATTCTCCCTAAGTCCCAGAGTAAATGTTTGTGCTGCAGCACCAGCAGCTGATTTACCTGAACATGCTGCTCCTTTCAAGGCTTTTGGGCAGCATCAAAACCAGCAATGAACAGCAAAAAATTCACAATCCCCTTTGTAAAACTGTCATCCTTTCTGTTAGTTCCAGATATTTGTCTTTTCATAAGCACTTCAAAAAGCACCTTTAACCCCTATCAACTATTCACTTCCCCAGAGTTAAAATCTGACACGTTCATTTTTAGCCATCTCTACTCTCAAAGATGCTGTGGTTTCTGTTTGATTCTTCAGAAATGAATCATAATTTCAAAACCTTCACTACCTTAGTGAAACGCTTTTTCCATTAGCATTCAACGTGTTTAACATGGGTTCAGACATGTTATCAGAAACTTATACTAGAGTCCTTAAAAAAATATCCCGTGTGATTTCATGCCCTGGAAACACCTTTGATGCTATAACTATTCCTTCAGCTATTGGGAGATATGAGGCATATGGATCTGAGCTAGTCAAATTAATACCATAATGGCTTCTGGCTCGACAAACACGTACAGTGCAAACAGAGAGCAGAACAGCTGTAGTAGAGTTACCTTTTATGTGGGTGGCATAGATGTCTGCCAATTAAAATGATCTGATGAATCATTTCTTGCCATATGATTACTGTTAATAAGAATTTATGTTAACATGTTTGTGTCTGAACTTTGCACAGGTTCATGCCTGCATTTATTTTCTTAAAAAATAGAGCATATCGTGATTGTTTTTTGTTCTTAATGGACTTTCTTTCCTCATTTGAAAGCTTTCCAGGACTTCAGTAATGCAGAGCTGCCAACTATCCCTTAAAGGAAGATGGGTTTATCTCCATGTAATGCTTTCTGCATGTAATTCTGTATACACAGGCCAATAGTTTTTAACCTGGGAACCTCAAGCTAAGCTTCTAAATCCATATAACAGCACTTAGAAAGAGAGCATGGCCTTCAAAATATGAAAAGAGAAGTCCTCATAAACTTTTATTAAAGCCTCTGTTGTTGCAAACATTTATACTTATACTTCCATTTAAGTAGTCCCACTGACTCACAGGTTTTAGCCATTGATTTCATTATGCTAACTCCCCATGTGTAAAAATCAAGCATTTTTTTTTCAGAACTGATGTTATATTTATGATGAGAAATTCAGGTGTGGCAAAATGTTGTTTTAAATATGTCCTCAGCAGCTTACAAAACATTTCAAAGTATTTGGGAAATCTGTGCAACAAGTGAGACCTTTTATAGCAAGAAATACACAAGTCCAAGCATGGTGAGTGTTAACAGACTTTGACCTAGGATGGTTTGGGGATCTCCCTCTGATCAGAAAAATGTAGTTTAAAATTATACATAAGCTTGGTAAATACAGTAGGACAGGGTAGAGAGACACAAAACAATTGCAATAAAACTTCATGAAGTACAGCTTAGCTAGGATAAGTGGTTGGGGACTCATCATCCTTGTGAATCTTGTTTGGAAGCCATGAGCAGAACAAAAGTTTTGGTGGAAGGACTTGTTCCCATGGGAGTTAGAACAGTCAGTAGAAAATATACTGGAGAAAACAATCCTAAAAAGACTACGGAGAAACTTGGCAAATAGATAATTTCTTTCCCTCTACTGGCAATTCTGCCACTCACAGGATAAGCAAGGTTTTTCCATGGCACTTACACTGGAGCTTTTGGGGGCTCTTTGGCTAACAGCATCATCCTTACATCTGCTCTGTCCATGCTCACTGATGCTTTGAGATCATATTTGCATCCATTTTCCCTGCAGCATCAATAAAGCAAGAACTGATATGTTTTTTCCAGTGTCATCCTGCATTACCACCTATAAGAAGACACCACCTCCAGTCCCACCAAGAACTACCACCAAACCATTTATTTCCATCACAGCCCAGAGCAGCACAGAGTCTGCCCAAGATGCATATATGGATGGGCATGGACAGAGGGGAGACATCATCAGCCAGTCTGGACTTAGCAACTCCACAGAGAGCTTGGACAGTATGAAGGCGCTAACAGCTGCTATTGAAGCTGCCAATGCGCAGATTCATGGCCCTGCAAGTCAACATGTAGGGAACAATACTGCCACCGTCACCACCACCACAACCATTGCCACCGTTGCAGTAGAAGACAGAAAGAAGGACCACTTCAAGAAAAACAGATGCTTATCTATTGGAATACAGGTACAGTACAGGACCTGGATTATTTGCCTGCCATTGTTTTGGATTTCTACATCTGTTTTACTGCTCGTTATGCAATGTTTTGTGTATTTCTCTTCTTTTCCTGACAGGTATCTATGTAGAAATTGTAGCAGCATAATCATTCTGCATGGTACTAATGATGTTTTCCTAATTTATCGTAAAAACATCAGATGCGAGGATTTAAGTCTCCTTACTGCTTGTTATTCAGCTCTGTTAAATTACATACATGAGCACTAATCTATGAATCATAACACAGCGGGGGTCAGAAAGGCATGAATTAAATCATTGAAAGGGAATGTGTAAAACAATGATTTACATTACACTATCACCCAAAAATATTTTCGTCCGGCCTCACTGAATTAATTGTCACTGCTTATTCATGCATTTCATAATGACTGGTAGCTGCTTGAATGAGGCAGCATTGTTCCTACCTCAGCCTCAAGAGCAGAGGGTAAGTTCCTTCTGATTTGCCCTTGTTAAAGAATATTACATTTTGTTACCTCTAGTGAAATGAAACAAGAAAACTAACCCTGCCAAAGTTCACGCCTATTTACAGAAATGAGAGGAGCAAATCAACTAGACCAATTTAATCTGCTTTCTTAATTAATCTTTCCCATCCCCCCCCCCCCCAAAAAAAAAAGAATATGCATAAGACTCCAGCTATCTGCTTTGCAGGATTAGCTTTTGCAACAAAGTACTTGAACTTACAATCAACTGAGAATTAACACAGGTTTTGATGGGAGATGAAACCCAAGCAAATAAAACAGCAATTCACAGCTTATCAGCCTTCACAAGACGAAATGATTTTTTTTCTTGCAGATGGAGGTTGTAAGCACAGCACTATGTGCCTGGACAGGCTTATCTGATTAGCAAAGCCTAAGAATTTACAGTGAAATCTCTGCATCAGCCTGACGAGATGAGAGGCGCTGTGTAGAAGTATGCCATCCCAGGGGCAGCTCCTGGAGAAGCTGTGACTTTTCTCTTACTTCTTCTTGGAAGGCCAATAATTACCATTGCCTGTGGGTTCAGTTCATTGCCTTTGTTGTAGACTTTTTCTGCTTCACAGCTGTTTGGTTTGGGTATATTCTGAAGGAAGGGCTAATGCTCAGTATTAAACACAGGAGTGAGATCCAGGTGGGACAGGGGTAGAGGAAAGCTTTTCTATTACTTACTCCCATACCCAGCCAAGCCGAAGGTGCCATTTTATTGTTGTAATCTCTCGTTTCACTGAGGGCTCAAAGCAACAAGGACTCCTTAGCAGGCAAACACCCTGCAAAATAATGGGTAGAAAGGAATAATTTCCACATTTGCAGAAGCCAAAATGAACACTGGTAATGTGAATCGTGACTCTTGAGAAACCATCTCCCTGCTGTCTCTTCTTAAGGTGGTGTTGCTGCAAGTAATAAATGCTGCTTTTGAGAGATACAGGGGCCTCAGTTTCCTGAGATCTGAGGAAAACAGAGCCCCAAATGCTGTTCAAGCCTTTGAAAATCTCTCTCTAAAACTTCAAAATTTACAGATGACCAAGATAAACATATGTGAAAGCTGCCTGGGGATGGTACGTGAGGGGCTGCCAGGGTAGTTTTTCTGTACAAACCAATGGAGTGATACAGCCTTACAGGATTCCTGCCCGTGCACCGTGCCACGCTCCCAGTTGTGCCCATCAGTGAGATTTTGAGAGTCAGACAGGCATCACAAATAAAACTGCTTTGCCAGTCTGCTGTCTGGTCCCTTGTGCAGCATCATTGCCCAAGCAGTTGTGCTGGTACAGCTGAAGGAGTAGTGTGGGAGTGGAAATACCGTAAGATCACTGTTGCTGCTAGAAATTACTTCTCTTAGAAACAACTGCCCTAAAATAGGTAGGTAGGCTGTCAGCCCTCTGACTGGCAGTATGAAGTCAGTCTCTCTCCACTGACTGTAAAGGGAGCCTAGTTTAGGCTTAGACAACTCAGACCAGGTATACACCTTACTTATAGTCTGGCCCATCTCTGTAGAGCAGGGCAAGCTGCTTTAGCCAGAGGCATAATCTTGGTTTGCTTCCTCCTCTAATAAATAAACCTAATGTGCGCTTGTGATGAACCTCCATGTGTGTTCTCCGCACCCCTTAGTCATTCTTAGGACACCACAAGCCTTTGCTGTAAATCTCTTTAGCAAACAAGTGAAGTAAAGCAAGGCAAAGAAAAACCCTTCCATCAAAAGGTTGCTTCTGTGTCAGTTATGGGATTTAAGGCATAGTTATTTCCCCCAAAGCCTCAGTATCAGGTAAGTACCCTGCTTCACCAAACAGCTCTGTAACTCCCATCCCTCCTCGAGTACTTTTCCTGCACAGGCTGTTAAATTGGCTCTCAACAACAAGCTTATTTACGGGTGGAACAGATGCTAACTACAGCTGGAGGTTTTGTACACTTGGGGCCACGGTGGATCCACAGGTCACTTCATAACACTGCTGTGGTCCAAAAATTCTGTGTGCTGGAAATTTTTTTCTTGTATGACTAGCGATGTCATATACAGCATTGGGAATTAACAGCTACACTGATTGGACCCAGAAGTTTGTGATTTTGCTCAAAGACACATCTGTGGTTAAATTCTAATGTTATACCATTGGTATAAATCTCCTCACAGCGATGGAGAGGTGGTATAAAGTTCCTGCCTGCGCTCCTGGGAACCGCCTGTTTGCATGATGAAGCAGTAAACAAAATGCATCCAAGAGCTGCATGTGCTTTCTTTACATCTTATCTGTACAGTGCTCTGATTCAGGGCACTAACATTTAAAGAAAATAAACACATAATTTTGACATGAGTTCACATATGTATGCACACACAGACTAACAGGTAAAACGAAACAAGCAGTGGAGCACAGTAAGTGGAGTTACAGCTGCTCAGAGATTTGCTCTGGTAAATCTGAGCATCCAGCCTCCATAAAATACTGGATAAACTCCACCTGCATTTTGCAGGCTGAATGTTGTCTTGCCAGAAATGCTTTATAGATTAACAAGAATGATGAATATTCACTAATAACATCAGAAATGGGCACAGCAGAGATAAACTGACTAAATGAAGGTACTTCTGGTACAAGCTATATATGCAGACACTTAGTAGTTATCATGCATAGAAATTGTAAGTAGCTGAGTGAGTGATATCTCTGCTAAAATGCATTCTAATTAGCTGGTTATTTTTTTTAAGGTTGATGGTGCTGAAGAATCCACCAAATCAGGTGAAAATAAAGCAACCAGTAAGTTCCAGTCCATAGGAGTTCAAGTAGAGGAGGAGAAGTGGTGAGTAAAAGTTAATATTGTTTTTCTAAAGTAAATAATTATGCAACAACTAATTTTTAAGAGCCCTAGTTCCTGCACGCATGAGCATATAAACCTGCTTCCTGGATGAATTGTTAGATCACCCAGCTGAAAAGCCGAGTCTCATAAATGCTGTAGCTCTTATTCCTCAGAGGGGATTTTTCAGGACCAGTGGGAGAACTGGAAGAAAAGTGCCACAGATTTTGAAGGTCAATATACTTTTAATAAGCTCTTTTTCCCCAGAAAATCTACCTAAACAGCAGACGGTGACCCAGCTGGAATATTAGTCTCGGGATGGCTGCAGCAGCGTAGAGCTTGATGGGGAAGTTTACCTTGTTTTTCAGCAGAATAATTTCAGGCATGTGGAGCAGTGCAGTGGCAGAGCCAAACTGATTGCTTTTGCTCAGGTATCTCACCCAGACATCTCTGCAGTACTACTGTTCCCTTGCAAAAAATTGTTGAGATTAAAAAGCAAGCCTGTAAAACCCGGTTCTCTCTCAAATCTGCAGTGTAACCTGAATTAGTAAACAAATATGCTCAAAACAATTGAAAAAAAATAATCTAGACTAGCTGTCTTCAAGGGTTATGTTTCTTTTGGATGACAAACTGCACTTACTCTGCGGAGCAGCATAACTCTGCATGGCATTTTCCACCCTTACAGAGTTTCTGAGTGCATGAACGCATCTGCAAACCCTAATTCCTGCCCAAAGTGGGACTCAGTGGCTGAAGAAAAGCCGGACTCTCCCCCAGAAGCGTGCAGGCCTGCCCAGTTCTGCTGCGGCTGCAAGCACCCACCCAAGTCTTTGTTCATTTTTCGCAAGCCATTTGGGTGCAGTGTAACTTTTGGATCCTGGAGCCATGTTGCTGATAACTCACTGTACCATATCATAGAAGCCTCAGGGCAGCATGGCTTGTTGGTGAGGGAAGAGTCGCCCTTGCAATCTCTCCAGAAAAAACCTGGGTGTAGCGAATCTGAGCTGACAAAATCAGGGCCCTCTGCCCTCCTCTGGCCCACCAACTGCAGTAGCGAGTAGAGGAGATGTCCATTTTCACACTGTTTTTTAACTATCCCTGCTAAAAGTACTCAAAAATAACGTTATCTCCATCATTTTCAATTCAATAAAATCTCCCCATAAAGTAGCAGAGTATTTTCCTGTGGTTTTAAAAGGCTAAAGTGATTTCAGCAAAAAGAAATGTGATTTTGCAATAACCCTGCTAGGCTGTTACCAAGTTCCTCATTAACCTGCTAAAACATCTCTTGCTGGCAGACGTTTCTTTATGTGTTAGACCTTAGCCCCATTTACCCACAACTCTTCCAGCACTAGATAAATGAGCACATTAGAATAGATGCTGAAGGATCATTTCCCTTCAGCCTGAGTACAAAGGAAACAACTACCCCAAAAGCCCAACCCTCCTCCTTCCCTAAAAAAAAAACAAAAAAAAAACAAAAAACACCAAAAAAAACCAACCACCACACCAAACCTCTTCAAAAAACAAAGAAAGAAATGGCTGTTTGTAAATACCTTACTTCCAAAGTCCTCTTTCTATTGCAGTTTTTATTACTCCAGAGAAAATGGTAAGATTTGCCTGTGAGGGTCTGCCCTGGGAAAGCAATATTTCTGCATTACCTACTGACAGCTGTATTTGGGGGTTTCCTTGCTGATAAAGTTGAGGTTGCTGCTGTTTGGAGCAGACCGGCAAGCAGCAATCTATCATGGACTTTCAGAAGTGAACTGGCTGATAAAGGACAGCCCTTAATCCTTAGAAAATGAGTGCACGCAAGACACAAAGGCCTTATCATCACAGTTTGGCACTCATATTCCTTCTTTTTTTTTTTTTTAACACAGCAGAGCACAATGTATTGATTATCTGTTACAGGAACAGAATTGTAAATACAGTGCATTCTTGCCTGCCCCTGCACCATAACATCTGCAGAGCCTCAGAAAAGCCCTTTTGAGTTGAATCTTTGACAAATGAATGTTTTTTAAAATCTCCCAGGCTTCAGAAATATTAAATAAATATAAAATAAGAAGAGAAGAATGACACAGCAAAGAGGATAAATACAGTAAATTGATCGTGTTTCCTTGCCAGTCTAAGCTATTAAGTGCACTGTTATCAAACAAAAAAGCTCTTTGCTTAAAAAGCCTACCATACAAAATTTGCTTCACTCCTCTTCTTTGCTTCCTGCTCTTTCCTCCCCCTTTCCCTCACCCCATATGACTGTCTTTCTCACACCAAGGAGTCTTACCTCCTCATGTCCTTTCAAATATTCACGCTTCTGTGCTTGGACCAAGTAAGCAAAAGATTTTGCCTCCGTCTCTTGATCTAAGTAGCTTGAAAACAATATCTTCAGAGGACAGATCTATCTCTTCCATCTTCCACCTCATCTCAGACCTTTCATTGGCCCTTCACTCTCTGTAACCTGGGCTTGCTGCCAAGACAAATGACTCTAGTCCTCCTCCTCCTCCTCCTCCTCCTCTTGTACTACTCAAAGGATAAATGTGCCTACCACTACCTGACCATATTACAACTGGATCCATCACTGCTATTTGTCTTATCGTTAGCTCTCTGTGCTGCCTGGTCTCAATAATCTTTTTCGTACCCATTCCCTAAGCGCAGCTCTACGATTTCTAGCATTTGTAGAGTACCTCTATCCAGTCTTTCTCATAGAAAAAAACTGGTATGTGTTTCTTTCAACGGTAACCTCATGATCTTCCTGCTGCTACTCTCTTATCTCTCACCTGATCTCCCTCATGATGTTAAAAAAAACCCAGCAAAATTGTTCCTCCCCTTTCCTCACGTGACCCACCCTTTCCAGGGCAATTTTGAAACGTGTATCTAATGAAGCTGATCAGTACAATCTTGGGTGACTTCCATTTCTGTTTGTCATTTCTCTCTATCTGTGACTTCTTCTTGACCTCAAGGGACCACCTTCCATTCCTCACTTACAAAGGTAATTGAGTTGTTGGAAGTCAACCAGTTCTACTGAACCAGAAAAGAAGGAGTCATCTATTGTGCCAGGCCAATTAGCACACATTCTTATTGAACTAGGGGCTCTCAGTCCCATAGCTCTGTAATCACTTTTAGTCTCTCCTGCATTTTACCTTGTCTGCCCCAAGATCTCCTTTCGTTACGTCCTCACCCCCAAAATCGTCTTGCTCATTGCTCCTAGTCATACCATCAGCTGGCAATTGTATTTGGTTTGCTATCACAAGAATTTATGAATGCTGAAACGATGGTAGTTTTTGAAGCAAGAGCACTGCTATAGGAGACTAAGACCATAGACACGGTCCTTTTCCATTTTCTCTGGCTTGTGTGGGGCGAGGGAAGGTGCCCCTACCTCTTGCTGTGGTATAAGGTGTGGTTTACCACACCATACCTCTTGGTGTGGGATAAAGCGTGGTTTACCACACCGTACATCTTGGTGTGGGATAAAGTGAAATGATTTGAAATGGTGGTGGGGTAACATAAAAAAAAAATAAAGTCTTCTGTCTGTTCAAAGAAAAAAACCACATCTTTGACTTCTGTTACTATATAAAGCCATATTTTTCTCTTTTTTTTCATTTAGGTTTTGGGGTTTGGTCCTACTGTCCTGACAAAAATTACTCAGGTTTTAGCATCTTCCCTGCACAGCAGGACAATCCTACGCTCTAACTCAAACTTCTTAACTCTCCAGTCTTTGGAACAGGACCTTCAAATCTGTATCTTGGCTAAGCTGAGCTGGGACTGATATTTTCTCAGCTTTTGTCTGCAGCATTTTCTGGCTATCTGTGTTCTCCACAGTAGAAACCCTTCCACTGAGAAATTCTGAAGGTGGTAGATGCCCCATCCCTGGAAACATTCAATGTCTGACTGGATGGGGCTCTAAGCAATCTGATCTAGTTGAAGGTGTCCGTGCTCATTGCAGGGGGCCTGAACTAGAAGACCTTTAAAGGTCCTTTCCAACCCAAACTGTTCTATGATTCTATGATTCTAACCTGGCTGTGACTGAGCTGGTATTCAGAAGAGAAAGGCAGTTTCAAAAGCAAGGCTTAATAATATTCCCTGTTTAAAGCTAAGGGCCCTGACCTGGTCTTGCAGGTGCAAGCAGCTCGGCGAGTGGTGGTCAGGGGGAGGGCTGCCATTTTATGGGGTGGGGGACAATGGGCCGTGAGGAGGTGGCATGTGACATCAGAGACCATCGTGATGGTGGCCCAAGTGGTTGACCATGAGTCCCTTTGGCTGAGGGGCATCTGGCATGAAAGAGGCCCTGCCCGGGAAGAGCAGGATGCCCAGGGCTGAGGATGCTCTGCCTCTGCCCAATCCCACCTTGGTGGGACCCACTCTCCACACCTCCCGCCACCCCATGCATCCTTGGGGGAGGAACTACCACTCTGGTCAACAGAGGGTTAAGCAGCCACTGGCTCTGACATGGCAAGTTTCCTTCCCTGGCCACGACTGCCTGTGATCAGAGCAAGCCCTTACACCTCTGGTGGCTCTCAGCCTGCTGGTGGGCTGCCCCAAGCTTGGCATTTGCAGATTTTGCCATGGATTTCTGATCAGACCTCACTGGCTGGCAATAGCCTCTCTCCACCAGCCCTGGCCCTTGTGATAAGATTACCAGACAAAGAGCTCAAAGGGCTGCATCCAGCTGGTGAGCAGTCACCAG